GAGAAAATTTCTCTTTAATATCATTTAACTAAAACTGTACTAGTTTGTTACATTATTTTAATCTGATTGCATCTAATCAGAATAAGAAGCTGTATTTTTATGTTGAAGTAGCTCTGCAATTTTGGTACTCATCTAAAGCACTAATGTATATGATGTGTGAAGAACATAAATGAAAAGGTAAAAATGTTTGTTTTGGGTTGCCCACAGTATTTGATTATAATAATTGGATGATTCCTCATAGCAGGTGTTGTTTAATGCACAGGGCTGATGTTATATGAGTTACAATGGCAGTCTGCAGACTGCCTCACAAAATGCTATTCTGAACTGAAAGTATTAACATTTGTGTTGTTTTGGATGTTGGATAGTAATTAAAAAATCAAACAAGAAATTATATTCTTCCCAACTCTTTTTGAAATGTCCTTGATGTGGAACTTGTCTAGGCGACAAGTCACTCAGGTGGCCATCTTTGCAGCTCTACAGTTTTAAAAATGAGATATGAAAGATTGCACATGGTGCTTTGAGAACTTTCTCTACAAACATCCTTTACTGTGTAGGATGTAGCCAAAGACTTCTAAGTATAATCAAACTGTGAATAAAAGCACAGTGTATCCAATGCTCCCACTGGAAAAAGGCATCATTTATGATCTCCCCCATCCTTCATACACACTTTAAAAAAGGGGGGGAGGTGTTTCGGCTGGGGTGAGGGAGCGGAATGTATGCTCCATCACCTTTTCTGTACTGGCAGCATTGAGAAGTGTGCGTAAACCCATTTAAAGCACTCAATAGATTAACACTGTGAGTTATGCTCACCACCTTTATCCAGAGCTTTTAAAAACTGGAATGTTTGCAGTCATAAATCATAATCTTGTTATTCTTCTTAAGGCTTATGTGCTACAAGCATTGTCAGCTGGCTGCTGAAAGCTCTTCATTGTGTGTCAAAATATGAGCAGAGGAAAGGTGACTTCATTAAAACATTGATAGCTGCATTTTATGTTTGTCTCTTGTGTTAAATGTTCAAAAGTGACTATCAAGAGCCCGATCTAACTTCCAGTAGAGCCTCATGATTATTTTAACTGTATCAGACTCTAAAAATAAGAAATTGTATGGTAGCTTTATTTCACAGTGGAGGAATGTGTTACAAAATTCTAATTCAGATTTCTGAAAACAGGGTCTGGTTCAAAGGCCATTGAAAGACTCCTATGAACTTCCATGGACTTTGGATCAAGCCCATAATTAGCAGTTTATTTTTTTACACAACAAGAAAATTGTAAAAGAGTGCACTATATGTGAGTATTATGAACTACAAAAAAGTGTGAGTACTATGAACTACAAGAAAGTTACTTTTCAAGCTGTATTTCTCTTTTGTTTAATAACTCCTATGAAAGTAGTGTTAATAAGAATAAATATGAGGGGCAGTCTATAATAATGAATAAGATATATCAATAAACCTTAAAATCCCTTTTTATATAGAAATTGGAAAGCTGAAAGTGGCTTTTAAAATCTTTAACTTCTCATGCTGTTATAAATTGTATGTTTTAGGTTCCAAATTCAAAGAGGGAAAACTGATCCAACGAGTTACAAGAGCTTGGGGGACAGTTTTAGGACTATTTTCCGGACCGAAGGGTAAGAATACATATGTTATATTTGTCAATTTTATGTGACTGTTTCTAATCACTCAGCTTTCCAGACATTGGAACACTGCTTTTAAATTAACCCTTTCTCCTGTGGTCAGAATTTGGCAAACATTTTATTTGACATAATAAACACAATCTGAAATCTGTTACACATCATGTAGTTGCAGGATGATTAAGTATGCTCTTTGCTACACCAGTGTGTATGTATTCGTTGAATTCAGTAGTGTAATAGAGGTGTGACAGATTGGGCCCAGAATCTTGTATGCCATTAAAATCCACTCTGTTTCTGAACTATAACTGGCATTCCAACTTCACCAGGGTGGATTAGGTTCCCAGCAGTTGCCCTAATGCTCCACCGGAGCAGCTTTTCAGTTCTGTGGGATATCTAAGATTGTCTCTAGGGGTTCTATCCCACGTTCCAACAGATCACTTAAGCTTGTGCTTAACTTTAAATACATGAGCAGTCTCATGATGCTAGTGAGTTCAGTGGGATTATGCCTAAATTTAAAGTTAAGCACATTAGCCACAGGACTGTTGCATGATTGATGTTTGCTTATAATAGAGTGGACTCAAATTAGCCAAACCTCAGTTGTATACAGCTTGCAGGCTTACTTCAAGAAATTTAAAAATGCAGTCGAAACATGATTTTACAGTGCATGCATTGACTTTATCATGATTTAAATGAAATTGTGCTTTTATGTAAATATAGAGTGGCAGAGCTAATCATTTTCAGTTACTGAGAAATCTTTACAAACATTTTCATTAAGCTTATGAGATGGAAGACTACAAATCCCACAGCAGTGACTATGCTGCTTTCAGTTACCTTTTGATTCCCGGTGAAGAACTACTTTGCATCATGGCTATCTGTGCACCACGGCTATCTAACTACTGTGAGAGTTTGTCTGTCTGTCTGTTCAAGAACTCCCCCATAAATGGCAAGAGCAAGAATCACCTAATTTGGTGTATAGCTTCCTGTTATCATAACTTAAAGCAAGGTCAGGTTTGGGTGTGCCAGGAAAATGGGATGTGCCCAGAATGGGATTGCTTCTCATAAAAACATACACATGAGAGAGAATCACCAGACAGGTGATAGGGGCAGGCTGGGGGCATCCCTTCTCCCCCTCCCCCTGATCTCCGGGACTGCCCCAGTCCTGATCCTCCCACCCCTCAGGCACTCTTTAGGAAGGAAATGGAGAGGCTGAAGCTTTCCCCCAATCCTTCCCGATTCATACAGGAACATTGCTAGCTGTACCCCCTTCATTAGGGAATGAGGGGAAAATGCACAATTTGCTGCATTCCTCACTCTGTCTGGGGAGCACATGGAGCAGATGAACCTGGAACTGCCCCAGCCAGGAGACATGTGCCCCTCCCCCACCTGTGCCCGTTAGAACTGCAGCAGCCATGGAAAGGTGCTTTCTCCCCTGGACCCAGACTGCTATGGTTACAGAGGTCTGGGATAGTCTTGTCTCCCCAGAGAAGCCTGCATACTGAACCCTTCATCCCCAGTCCCACCCCAGTGCTAAAATGTGTGGGTGTTTGTTCTTTATCTCTTCTAAAAGGAAATCTAATAATGTATAATCCCTTTATCTAGTTGTTTTTTAAAAGTATGAATCTGGTATAAATCCCCAGTAATTCAGCATTTTGAATTCAGTGGGCATTTGGGTGTGATGTGAATGCAGGACTGGAGACTTGATGTCTTTTGGGTCTGATCCAAAGACTACTGAAGTCAATAAAAGTCTTTCTTGACTGGAGTGGGACAATTCAGTATGAAATTAAGCATGTGTTTGAGTCTCTGTAGGCTGAAGGACAAAGGGTCTAGACAGTGGGGCTAGTTCGGGAAACCTCCTGCATCTTTTAAACGCGCCCATTTTTTTGAAATAACAGGCACTCTAATTAGGCATCCCTGTAACTCTTGTTCCACTAGGGTTAAGTGATGTCTTGAAATAGTGTGTTATTTTGAAATTTGGCACTGTGTAGACAGTGCCAAAATACAAAATAAGCTATTTTGAAACACATACAAAATAAGCTACACAATTTGCATAGTGCAAATTGTGTAGTTTATTCCGAGATAAGAGTACAGTTTAGATTAACCCTAAGTCAGTGGTCCCCAACCATTAGAGGCTCCCGGGCGCCTGGGGGCGAGGCCACTCACGTGCCGGGTGCCCGGG